GGCTTAGGGCTTAGGGCTTAGGGTTTAGGGTTTAGGGTTTAGGGTTTAGGGTTTAGGGTTTAGGGCTACAAGATCCGCAAACAGTTTGAAGCCCGGTCCAGATTCGGCGGCTCTGCACGGCCGGACACTTCGGCACCCATCGCCACATCTCCATGCAATCCATGCATCAGGCTGACATGCTACTTTGCTACACCATGTGGTGGGGTGTAGGGTTTAGGGTTTAGGGTTTAGGGTTTAGGGTTTAGGGTTTAGGGTTTAGGGTTTAGGGTTTAGGGTTTAGGGTTTAGGGTTTAGGGTTTAGGGTTTAGGGTTTAGGGTTTAGGGTTTAGGGTTTAGGGTTTAGGCTTTAGGCTTTAGGCTTTAGGCTTTAGGGTGTAGGGTTGGCATGGCCACAAACCCCCTTCAAATCCCTTATCCTAGATGGACTGCCTCTCAGCCAGGCCAGGGATATGCGGGTTTCCGATATTAGGGGTACCTTCTTGGCGTCCTTACTAGGGAATCCTACTATAGGGCAGGGGAAAGTGACTTCGCAAATCCGCATATTAAGTTTTTGCTTCAGAGCAAGCAAGCAGAACTGTGCCCTCGGATGCTCACTTATAGTGTCCTTAAGGGGGCTTCATGGGTAATCCCTACGCCTAAATCCTACACTCATACACCCCTTCCCTTAAGAACCTTATATCTCACTGACACTCTGGCATGAGGTTTCTTTCCAGAAACTTTGGCATCTGGAATGCGCCGTCATCCTCCAGCATAAGCCCGAAACCCTAGACCCCAAACCCCAAACCCCAAACCCTAAGCCCTAAACCCTCAGCGCTGAAGCCTTTTCTGCAATCAGTAGGTTGCCGGAGGGATTTCCTCCAACTGAGATGCGTCCATGGCATCACGCACCGGAATAGGCATGCCTCGAAAGCGCACGATGGTCTCGCTTAGTAAGGCTAAGATGTCCAGAAAGCTGAAATCAAACATCCCGAAACCCTAAACCCTAAAACCTAATTCCTCACGAATGTGAATCTTGCCTCGTAGTTTCGAGGCACGCCTACATCGAAGCGGGTAGCGGCCATGCCAATGTCTGACATGATGGAAGCGCCGCTTTGGCCTTCGCGTCGGTGACTGCACAAGTGCTGCTGCAGCTGCAAGATGCGTAGAAACCACCCAAAGAGCCCAATATTGCTTAATTAAGGAATATTCCTTAAATCATAAAGGATCCCTATATGATTTAAGGAATATTCCTTAACTAAGCAATATTGGGCTCTTTGGGAAGCTCTCAGGAACCGCGGCTTAGGCTTGGGCGTGGTGTGTTTGGTTTGGGGTTTAGGGTTTGGGGTTTGGGGTTTGGGGTTTGGGGTTTGGGGTTTAGGGTTTAGGGTTTAGGGTTTAGGGTTTAGGGTTTAGGGTTTAGGGTTTAGGGTTTAGGGTTTAGGGTTTAGGGTTTAGGGTTTTGGGGCTTCTGAGCATCTGGATTTGTGCAACGACCCGGGGCTGGCTGTTTGATTCGGTTTTGGGCAAAGGTTTCCTTGTCATGATCAAGGATGGCCATGCAGGCCACAGCAGGCATGCGCCGTCAGTCATGGCACCAGTGTGAGCTTCATGCGCCAAGGTCAATGCACACCCCCTGATATTTAAAGCCATCTTCACCGAGGGCTGAAGCATCCACTGCGTCCTGCTGATGAAGCCGAATGAGCAGTACCACATCAAAGCATCCGGAGGTGGTTGGCCCTCATGCCACCGTGTTTAGGGTTTAGGGTTTAGGGCTTAGGGTTTAGGGTTTAGGGTTTAGGGTTTAGGGTTTAGTTCTAGTGAAAGGGGTGTGCTAGCATGGCCCAACCGGCAGTGCTTTGGGAGTTTGTTTTGTGCTGGCCAACAGGACCTGTCATTCGCGCTCCCGGGCTCAAGTCAAGCTTAGTAGCCCAGTAACCATATTGCAATAAGGGCACCCTTTTCTGGGTTGGCTACTTTATAAGGCAGAGGGCACCCATAACCAAAAAAAGGGGTAAAGGGTATCACTGGGCTACTAAGCAAGCTAGCCGCTGTTTTCAGGGCTCCTGACGGAAACTTTCAGAGCCGGGAAGGTCGCCTGGGTCACATGAACGCACAGCAGAGGGTTTAGGGTTTAGGACTTAGGGTTTAGGGGCTCCATTCCTGTGCGTGCCCCGTGCCATGCGCAAGGAGTAGTACGGTGCTGGTGCAATGTTTGAGGAGTCGCAGCTGCAGGTCCCTAACCCTAAACCCTAAACCCTAAACCCTCAACCCTAAACCCTAAACCCTAAACCCTAAATCCTCCGAGAGCCCTGCGATCAGCTTGCCAGAATCTGCAAGCGGTTGTGAAGGTCGAAGAGCCTGCCGGGCATTACGTAGCCGGTCATGAGCAAGCAGGCTTAGGGTTTAGGGTTTAGGGTTTAGGGTTTATAGGGTTTATAGGGTTTAGGGTTTATAGGGTTTAGGGTTTATAGGGTTTGGGCCAAGAGTTGCGACCCCGCGGCTATGGCAAGCGAATCGCAGCAATTCGTACCGATGCACAATCGGCCCTATACCCCAAACCCAGACGTTTGATGAACCTTGCTGAGGGCCCAAACTTCTCAACTTAGAAGTCATGGACAATCGCAGGTGCGTTGACACCCTAAACCCTAAACCCTAAACCCAAAACCCAAAACCCTAAACCCTAAACCCTAAAGGTTACGGTGCCTTACAGCAAAACCGCCGCTGCAGATGGCTGCCACAAAGTAAGCCCTCGACCGGAGTCCTAAAGCCTAAGCCCGAAGAAGGGTTTAATCGCTCACACTCGGACAAGCCAGGCGAGGCATGCCAGGATTTAGGGTTTAGGGTTTAGGGTTTGGGGTTTGGGGTTTGGGGTTTGGGGTTTGGGGTTTAGGGTTTAGGGCCCCAAGCCATATGCCCTAAGCTCTAAACCTAAACCCCAAGCTGGGAAGGTCGGAACCAAAACTTCATCCGCCCACGTGCTGCCAACACTTGCCTCGCTGATTTTCGCTGACGATTGAAGAAGCAACTCATCCCATTCCTGCAGCACCGAAGGCCCTAAACCCTAAACCCTAAACCCTAAACCCTAAACCCTAAACCCTAAACCCTAAACCCTAAACCCTAAACCCTAAACCCTAAACCCTCAACCCCCTGTAACTTGAAATTATGCGACAGTAAACAAAGAAACTTGTCTCGAAATTCCTCGAAACTTTCCCGGACCTGAACCCGTAATGATCTCAATTAAATCTATGCCCTTGTTCAAACTGGACTGTATCAGGTGCCTGCTACAGCCTACAGCCTACAGCCTACAGCCTACAGCCTACAGCCTACAGCCGACAGCCGACTGCCGACAGCCGACAGCCGACAGCCGACCGCCAACAGCCTACACCAATAAACCCTAAACCCAAAACCCCAAACCTTGGTGGTTTCACGCTATCACCAAGCCGGACTGCACAACACATAAACCCAAAACCCTAAACCCGAAACCCTAAACCCCAAACAATAAACCCTAAACCCTAAACCCAAAACCCAAAACCCAAAACCCTAAACTTTCAAAACAAAACCATAGAAGAAACCCCTGTGCACAGAATGTGTACACAGGGATACCGGGCCCTATCGGAGCCCGGAGCCCTTCCAGAACGTAAGCAGTTTAGGGTTTATAGGGTTTAGGTTTTGGGGTTTTGGGTTTAGGGTTTGGGGGTTCGGGCCTTATATGGCTCAGCGGAATAACAATGAGCATACGGCACCTGCACTGGCACATGCGGGATGGGTCGCAAGCTATTCTCAGCATGCCCCTAAACCCCAAAACCCTGAACCCTTAATCTTAAACCCACGGCTCTAGGTCCGCGGCACCATTAAAGGTCGCAGAGTTCGGCTTATGCAGCCGAGGGTCCTGCCCCTTGACGAAAAACAAACCTTAAACCCTAAATCCAAGCAAAAAACAACTTTTTGAGTTAACCCCTTTTGCACAAAGTACAAATCTCACCCCAGTTCTGAACTGGACTGAAACACCAAAGCCCCTAAACCCTCCAAAGCCCCAAAACTCGGCGGAGGGGTTGAGGGTTTAGGGTGTAGGGTGCAGGGTTTATGGATCCCAAAATCCTGCCGCCCCAAAGCCCCAAACCACAAAGCGCCAGGCCTGGAGACCCGGCTTGGGGGCCTTGAAGACGAGAAGCGGGGAGGGTCTCATATAAGAAAAAAAACTTTGAATAAATAAATACGTAAGTAAGCAAATATATGAATAAATAAATAAACAGATAAAAAATATATATATATATATATGTATGTATATGTATGTGGTATAGAGGATTTAGGAATGGGAGTTCAGGCGTTTCGGGTCTGTGGCCTTCTGCTTGTTTTGCGTGTCGGGTTTGTGCAAGCACTTTCTGCAACATCAGGGCTGGTTTTGCTGTCTCAGGCAGGTTGCAGGTTTAAACCCTAAACCCTAAACCCTGAACCCTAAACCCTAAACCGTCTTAGGGTTACCGGTTGCAGGTTTGGAGGGGGTTTTCAGGGTTTCGGAGTTTGCCTTTTCCGATGGAATTTTGACTCTCACACCCGCACTCGACAGACAAGGCTTCGGTAACCTGCCAGAACCATGGGTTTTAATCAGTTTGTGTTTCAGGGCTAGGGCTCTGCAGTTTCCATTCTTGTGCTTCTGGATTTCGAACTTTGGTTCAGAGGGGCCTTGATTTTGATGGTTTCGGACCCCGTGTTCTGCTGGTTATTACATAAGGGTTCGCGGGCCTTGGGGTTCTGATTTCGGGGTGTGCAGTTCCTGCTGAAATCCGTCGTGCCAGCTGACATGAAGAGTCTGGGCTCCAAGAAGGTTGAGGGATTGGCCAGTGGTTCGCCTGGTCCCTTTCTTAGGAGACCAAAGCCTTCTAAGCGGCCAAAAGGGGCCTTCAACGTCTCAGCTAGGGGAAACCCAAGCCTAAGCCTCTGTGCTGGAAGGCGCTTCAAGGCGATTGGCTCGAGATTTGGCAGCCCGCCTCCCCCGGCAATGGGAACCTAGTTCTTCTCTCCTAATGGAACTCGGGAATGAGGTACCTTCTATCCACGCCACCATAAGCCAAGACTGGAAACCCCAAGCCCTAAAACCCCCAAAGCCCTGAACCCTCACACCAAAATGCTACGTAACCTGAGAAGAGAAAAAACTTAAACCTCGAAATAAAGAACCAATGCCTTCAAACCTGATAGCAAGAAGCAAAGCCCAAACCCTAACCCCTCCACCCGAACCCCTTGTACCCTAAACGCTACTTGCCCAGGAATGGACCACAAGGCCTGCCTTGAGCAGGTTCAGGCGGTTGCCATTGTCAGGGCCTTGGCAGCAGGGGGGGGTTTAGGGCTTGCAGATGTTCAGGTTCATATGGTCAGTTCTCTAAAATTATGGTCCCTTTTGGGGTATCCTAAATATTCGGGGGCCGCCTTATACTAAAGACCCCCCAAAAGGACCGTCATTTAGAGCAGTGACCATAAAGGCTGGTGCACCATCTGGTAGCTCCAATCGGCATAGCCTGAGGAGCCGGCTGATTTGCACCTCGGTAACATGCATTCTCTTCACGTCTGGTCACACACAGCGCAGTGCCCCTGGACCCTGTATTTGGATTAGGGTTTAGGGTTTATTTAGGGTGTAGGGTTTAGGGTTTAGGGTAGGATGACATCGTTCCGCGGGCACGATGCTGGGAAGAAATCTCATAAACTAGGGGGTGGGTCAGCCGGACCTCCCAGATCTCACAAGGCACTCTGCGCACACTCCGAAGCCTCTTCTTTGCGCCCCCCAAAGCCGCCGACTTCAGAAACCTTGAAGCCTTAAAGAACTGCTATGATGATTCTTATGACTTTTCTTCAGCTTGTGGTGACTGCTATGGGCTCCTACTGGTAGGTTGCAGTATCACGCTTCGTATGGTGTGTATTTCACCTTGACCTCCCTTGGACGCTGAAGGTTGTACCCTTGGGTCTGGGGGACCCCGTTTAAAGATCGGTAGGGTAGCATAAAAGGACCACATGAGTAGTATATTAGAGAAAATCTTTGGGGGTACATCCTTAGGGTACGAGTCGTACAGCAGAAGGGGCCATGAAACTTATTCCCCTATGTAACTCGTTCGCAACCCTTGTATATACCTAATATAGTTATATTCCTAAGCAGCCCCTAATATAGCTCCCAAAGAACCCCTAAGGCCCTTCCTTCAGTAAAAAAGGGACTATATAGAGGGACTTATGAGGGTTCTCGGGGGTAACGTAGGGGCTACCTAGGTATATAGGGACTATATAAGGTATGCATAGGGATTATATAGGGTTATATAGGGTTATACTTGGTTATATAGGGTTATATAAGGTATGTATAGGGTTTATATAGGGTGATATAGAGGACTAAGATTAAGGGCCCCTTGAGACAAGGCGGGCGCCGGATCCTCGTCGAGGCCAAGATCTCTCAGGATCACGGGGTCCACTGGCTGGGCCATGACCTGGTCCCCCCCGAGTTGTTTGGGGCTGAAGACGGTTTGGATTTTAACCCTAAACCGTAAACCCTGGACCCTAAACCCTAAACCTTGAACCGCTTAGGTTTCGGTAGCTTTTCCGGGACCCTGCGCTGACTTTGAGTGGAACGGTCCGGAGTGTGGAGGTCTCGTATAGTTAAACCCCTAACCCCTAAATCTTAAATCCTAAATCGCAGCTCTGCCTCCTCTGTTCCCGGTATAAGGTACCCCTGTCCTTTGTTTGGTTTATCTAGGGCAGGGTTTAGGGTTTAGGGTTTAGGGTTTAGGGTTTAGGGTGTAGGGTGTAGGGTGTAGGGTTTAGGGTTTAGGGTTTAGGGTTTAGGGTTTAGGGTTTAGGGTTTAGGGTTTAGGGTTTAGGGTTTAGGGTTTAGGGTTTAGGGAACATCAACGTTGGCGAGTGGACACTGCGTGACTTATCCTGCTCATCAGTACCGGTGGAACGGCTCCACACTTTCACTTTCAGTATTGCTACCTCCAGGGCCCCAAGTCCCTCCACTTCTGCAGCGAGACGATTCTAGGAGCAGGCCCACAGGGTTGAGGGTTCGGGTTTAGGGTTTAGGGTTTGGGGTTTAGGGTTTAGGGTTCAGGGTTCAGTGTTTAGGGCTTAAGGCTTAGGGCTTAGGGCTTAGGGATTAGGGTTTCACCCTGAACCCTTGTTTTTGGGGGCCCCCCGGTCCAAGCGCGCGGCGCTCAGCCTCATGCTGTCCTTATACTTCTTCTTCCTTTCGGCCTGGACGGTTTGGTGTTTAGGGTTTAGGGCTTAGAGTTTAGGAGCGCTGGGTTCAAATTCAAAAAGCACAGACAACGAAACTCCCTTTTCACCCCCTAAGCCCTAGAAACCCTAAACCCTAAACCCTAAACCCTAAACCCTAAACCCTAAACCCTAAACCCTAAACCCTAAACCCTAGAAACCCTAAACCCAAAACCCTAAACCCTAAACCCTAAGCCCTATATCAGCCATCCACCGAGAACCCACAGTCCAATGCCGGCCATCTCCGCTTCGTCGATCGGGGTCGGAGGCAGTGCAAAGTTCAGCAGCTTGGCTTCGAGACCTGGAGCCGAAATTCCCTGTAATCTAAACAGGGTTTAGGGTTTAGGGTTTAGGGTTCCTTAAAGATTATTTTTGGTTAGTAAGGAATGAGGGAATGAGGTACCCTGTATAATCCCTTAAAGGGTATATATAGGGGGATATAGGCTACCTCATTCCCTCATTCCCTACTAACCAACAGGAAGTAATATGGGGATTTCCGAAAATAGGGGTCCCCCTTATATACCCCAAAATACAAAAACACTCGATGATCCTGTGAAAGGAACCCCAAAAAGGGTACCCCCATATTCGGCAAGCCCCATATAGGATCGGAATTATTACTGATTTGTTGCCTTATGGTCCATGTATACTGATACTAGAATACAATCTCCCAAAGCAACTCTGAGAGGTCAGGTTTGGGGTTTCTCAGGAAGTTTTGGGGTTTCGGGTTTAGGGTTTAGGCCGGTTTAGGGTTTAGGGTTTCGGGTTTAGGGTTTAGGGTTTAGGGTTCTACTCCCCCCAAGCAAATGCCGACGCTAAGGCCTAAGTTCGAAGAGCAGCGAAACCGAAACTGTAGCGTGTCTACAGCCACCGCAAGATCCTCAAGATCCCTAAACCCTAAACCCTAAACCCTAAACCCTAAACCCTAAACCCTAAACCCTAAACCCTAAACCCTAAACCCTAAACCCTAAACCAGGTTTGCCCCCCATGGCTTCGGCCTTCGTGCCTAAGAAAAGGCGCCAAGCTAGGGTTTAGGGTTTAGGGTTTAGGGTTTAGGGTTTAGGGTTTAGGGTTTAGGGTTTAGGGTTTAGGGTTTAGCTAGAATCGGAAGTTTGGGGTACTACTTGTATAAGGTTCCTAAGGGGACGACAGTGGTATGTAAGCCTCTTCCCATATATTAGGCACAGTTTCGCAGCAAACTTGTGGGCCTTCAGTTTCTTGAAAGACCCGGACTTTCCAAAACCGGAACATACCATGCTCTATACTAAGGATCACTCCGGGTTCAGGGTCATATCTCCGCAACAGCACAAATCCTAAACTTCGAGGCCGGAAAGCCTCAAATCTCAATCCCAAACCTCCGAAGCAAAGCCCCTCCCGAACCCCGATGTAAACCCTAAACCCTAAACCCTAATTCCCAATGTCTGTGCCCCCTTGCCCTCCATGATCTCTCGCTCATGCCGGGAAGGACTTTGCTCCGGGGATGGCATCGGGCCTGGCAGGGCCCCAAGACCACTCTGCCAGAAGCTCGTCTTCATGGCTTCTTGGACTTAGGGTTTGAAGGGTTGAATTCGGCTTTCTTTTTCCGCAGAATTTCGGGCTTGAGTCCAGAAAGGTACAACTCACATTGACATGTGCCGACTTTGTTGTGGTTGCGATGGTCAAGCATGGAATCTTGGGTTCTAAAGTTGGGGGAGGGGGGGGGGGGGGGAGGTAGGGTTATCCTTGGGGTTCATACCAAGGGGGCATCTCATGCCCTTCATGGTTAGCAGGGTTTTGGGTTTAGGGTTTAAGGCACCTAGGCATTGAAATCTGGAGAGAGTGTTGTGGTGTTTTGGTGCGTGTCTGACCGCTAGGGCGGAGGTTCACGAGTAACGTTTAGGGTCTAGGGTTTAGGGTTAGGGTGCTTGAAGTGTTCGTAGCACTTGCGAACTGTGAACTGCGATTTAGGTTTGGGGCTAGGGTTCAAGGTTGAAGGTTTACGATTGGCCTGAGCCATCACTATGTGTTTGTTATCGCCCCACCCTCCCAGAATCCCTCTTCTTTCGAATCACAAATCCTTTTTCTTACTTCATTCGCTACTATTTGCAACCAGCCCAGTTTTCTCATTCGGCTCGCCAAGCCCAGCAGACACAGCCATCTACAACCAACCCAGTTTTCTCATTCGACCAGACAACAGCCATTAGAGGCCCCCGCAGCCGTGCAAGCCCTTGGACGCGTTTGGAGCTCGTTGGGTTTAGGGTTTAGGGTTTAGGGTTTAGGGTTTAGGGTTTAGGGTTTAGGGTTTAGGGTTTAGGGTTTAGGGTTTAGGGTTTAGGGTTTAGGGTTTAGGGTTTAGGGTTTAGGGTTTAGGGTTTAGGGTTTAGAGGTGCCTTGCAGGTTCTGGCAGCTCGCTGGATGCCCTTGGAGGGCATTGGACGGCCCTTGCCAGTCCTCGCAAGCCCTTGCAGCCCAAGCAAACGGCCTTTGTCCCTTCTTGCAAACTCTTCCCTCTTCCCTCTTCCCTCTTCCCTCTTCCCTCTTCCCTCTTCCCTCTTGCCTCTTCCCTCTTCCCTCTTCCCTCTTCGCTCTTCCCTAAACCCTAAACCCTAAACCCTAAACCCCTAAACCCTAGACCCTAAACCCTAAGGCCCTGAAGGCCATTGTGGGAGGTCCTTTGGAGGCCCCGTGCCTCAAATCCGAAATCCTAAATCCTTAAACCCGAATCCTACATCCTAAGTCTTAATCCAGCACTGAATCCCAAATAAACCCCAAACCCCAAACCCCAAACCCTAAACCCTAAACCCTAAACCCTAAACCCTAAACCCTAAACCCTAAACCCTAAACCCTAAACCCTAAACCCTAAACCCTAAACCCTAAACCCTAAACCCTAACCCTAAACCCCTAAGCCTTTGGAGACCCTTGGAGGCCCTCGTAGGCCCTTGTCGACTCCTAGACCCTAAATCCGACATCCTAAACCCTAAACGTTAAATCCTAAGGCCTACGTCGGAAGCCTGCATCCTGAACCCTACATCCGTGTCCTAAATCCAAAATCCTAAGCCCGAAGCATCCTGAAAACCCGAAAACGATCAACATCAGAATACGACCCCTCTTAGATTTTAAGTATGCAGAGGTAGAGAGGGTTCAGGGTTTAGAGGAACAAGACGTGGAATCCTTTCGCAGGGTCCAGAAAGCCTGAAGGTTTCAAGGGCTCTGAAGAGGGTTTAGGGCTTAGCGTTAAGGGTTTGGGGTTTAGGGGGCCTCCGAGGAACTTGCGCAAGACTGGAGTCTTCACCTGGCTACAAAGCTCCAAGCACGCGGGTGTTGGTTCCTTGTTCTGGGTTGCAAGAGCTTTCCCTAAACCCTAAACCCTAAACCCTAAACCCTGAGCCCTAAACCATGTGGAGCGCCTCTGTGCAAAGAACTTCCAAGCTCATGGGGGGCCCCAAGCATATTCCTGAGTTGCATTGACCCAAGGCTTGCGTAGACGACGTAAGTACTACTTGCTTAAGAACACCCCCCAAAAGTTCCGCAATAGCAATCCAAGAACACAGGAAAACTGTATCGAGTCGAAGACCCCAAGCCCCAAATTCCAACCCTAAACCCTAAACCCGGATCGCCTCTGGCTCAATCGCCAGCACACCGGTGATGTACTGCTCCAGCGCCACCTGCGGGCCCCCCCCCCCCCCCCATCGTCTTGCCTAATATGCCGCGAGAACACCCCTAGTTTAGGGCTTAGGGCTTAGGGTTCAGGGTCCTGTACCCTAAACCCTACGACAAACAACGCAAACTCGGGTCGCATCGTTTAGGACCTGCGACGCACGTTCCCTGTGCAGAAACCCAAAACCCTTTTTTGTTAACCCAGGACTGCCGAAGCTAAACCCTAAACCCTAAACCCTAAACCCTAAACCCTAAACCCTAAACCCTAAACCCTAAACCCTAAACCCTAAACCCTAAACCCTAAACCCTAAACCCTAAACCCTAAACCCTAAACCCCAAACCCTAAACCCTAAACCCTAAACCCTAAACCCTAAACCCTAAAGGGTCATCCCTTGAACCCCTAAAATCCCGAACATCCCTAAGGCCAAAGCCCTCGTGTCGTAAAACGCCAGCGCCTGTCGCGAGGCGATGAAGGCCGGGTCGTTGTTTCCGAAGAAGCGCTTAGCCGGAAAGTGCGGCCTTGACTCTGGATTCTTCACTTTCAGGGCTAGGGTTTAGGGTTTAGGGTTTAGGGCTTAGGGTTTAGGGTTTAGGGTTTAGGGTCTAGGGTCTAGGGTCTAGGGTCCAGGGTTTAGGGTTTCAGGTGGGGCTCAGCGTTGAGGCACTTGGGGAGTGTGGAGCCTTTGAACCTGGAAGCTGCTTCATTCGGGTTTAGGGTTTAGGGTTTAGGGCTTCGGGCTTAGGGCTTAGGGCTTAGGGGCTAGGGTTTAGGGTTTAGGGTTTAAGGTTTAGGGTTTAGGGTTTAGGGTTTAGGGTTTGCGGGGTGACAAACCACGTGGCGCCATCACGCGGAATTCTTTCCAAATCCACCGGCATCCGGTATGCTTGCTATTCAATACATCCAACTGATGCTCTTAGACCAGAACATGTAGATTGAAGAACTGCTTCATCTTGGGGGGTTCTTAAGCAAATAACCCTAAACCCTAAACTCTAAACCCTAAACCCTAGACCTAAGGAGGAAAGCTACGACTGCTCCAACCCTCCTGAACTACTATGTGCTTCAGACCCCTCCCCCCCAAACAAATGAAAAGCAATTAAAGAGAATAATCCCACATGACCCTTAGAAGGAAGAATCTCTGCCTTTCAGTTTTTTGGGGTTCTTAAGCAAATAACCCTAAACCGTAAACCCTCAACCCTAACTCCTAAACCCTAAACCCTACACCCTAGACCCTAAACCCTAAACCCTATCAGTAGTAAACCCTCGGGCCGCAGCAGGTTCTCCCCGTAGCGGAGCTTCAGCTCATCGTGCAGCTCACGCAGGGCGCGGTAGCGCCTGGCAGCGGGTTTAGGGTTTATAGGGTTTAGGGTTTAGGGTTTAGGGTTTAGGGTTTAAGGTTTAGGGTTTAGGGTTTAGGGTTTAGGGTTTAGGGGTTAGGGTTTAGGGGTTAGGGTTTAGGGTTTAGGGTTTAGGAAGCGCATTTCCGCGGCATGCTGTGTGGGGTACCCCTATAGACAAGGCTCCGTAACATACCCAGATCCCAACTAATATGGGAATTCAGGGTCTATACTCCGTGGCCCAAGATTACATTCGCGGCTAGAAATTTAATTTAGGTTAGGGTTTAGGGTCTAAGGGTTTGAGGGTTTAAGGGTTTAAGGGTTTAAGAGTTTAAGGGTTTAAGGGTTTAAGGGTTTCAGGGTTTAAGGGTTTAAAGGTTTAAGGGTTTAAGGGTTTAAGGGTTGAAGGGTTGAAGGGTTGAAGGGTTTAAGGTTTTAAGGGTTTAAGGGTTTAAGGGTTTAAGGGTTTAAGGGTGACCCGTACACCCAAGTACCGGACCAAAACTGTCCCACAGTCTGCAGCCATCTTGGGAGTTTAGGGTTTAGGGATTAGGGTTTAGGACCTACACAGCTCACCTATTTCACAGTCATTTAGTACTACGCCGCACGTCAATCGACGTGCAGGTTCACGGGGTGCTCCCCCCTCAGGCTGCCTCTGCAGGTTCCAGGAAGACCCGTCCACGTGGGACACCTGCTCAGAATTAAGGATCTCCCACTGGCGTAAGATGCTTCTTGCCCGCGAGTCTGGTTGAGGGGGTTGCGGTGGCCAGAAGCACTGTCTGATTCTAGATGCGCAAGCCTTATACACACCCCAAACCACTCACAGAACCCATCACTCTGCCCGGATCGCTCAGCTGTGCTCTGCTCGTACGTCCTTGAACCCCACAACTGACGACTGTGCACGCTCCAAGCTTGTTCCTTGGGGCTGCGGATCTCAAAACTCACTTGCTGTCAACCCCTTGAGAAGCATGTTCCTGTTGCATGCACATATCCACGTACCACGTACTATTGCTAAATACTATTGTCATTGTTCATGTTAAGATTAACTCAATGCCAGACTAAAATCCATATCCACTCTTTGAATTTATACAAAGCTATGTATACATGTCCATTAAAAAAAGAAGAAAAACGAGAATGACACTTCTTTGGGCAGAACCCTCTCCTCCCGCCAGTGACAAGCTTACGACAAAGCCCAAAGCCTAAAGCCCCCAAGCTCCACTACGCCACTGGTTCCAAGCAGTAGTGTCAAGAGCATCCTACAGGACCACTTGGAGGCTCGGGGTACTTAGTAACCTATAAGCCCTTAAAGAACCCACCGATAAGCCCTTTAAGTACCCTAATGGGGCTATAATTGGGTTAGAAGTACAGTTATATTTGGGTTATGAAGTACCATGAACCTGTATGCAGGAAAGGGCAGGATTCTTCTACGCTGCAAGCATCGCAAGGCAATGACGGGTTCGATTCAGGGCGGGTCTCGCTAGTCACTAGATAAGCCCGATCAGCAGATGGCTATGCAAACGAAAACCCGACAGCTGGCTAGAGGAGGGCAAGCCAGCGGCCCCAAACAATCAACTTTTCAGATCCCGCGAAATCCATGCAACACATTTGAGGCTTGGGCCTGGATGATATATGTTGTGTGCCCGCCGTCCGCCGTGTTTCCGATGAATTTCACCTCACCGCTTGCAGCTCGGGTTTAGGGAGCAGGGGCCTAAAGCCCCAAACCCCTAACCCGTAAACACTTCAACCCTAAACCCCCAAGGATGGCCAGGATTCTATCTCTCGAGCCTTGGCCAGTGGTGGTTGAGAATTTGAGGGAATGCCATCTCCACCCCTCACAATGGACTTGAGCACCTCAAAGGGGACCCCGTTACGGAAGGAAGAGCCACATGAAACCCTAAACCCTGAACCCTAAACCCTAAACCCTAAACCGTCGAACCTCATTCTTCTGGGGGGCCATGCTTGGGCCCCAACCAATTCACCCACAGTGACCCAAACCAATAAGGCATCCACAATATTTGCTTATACGTTCGGTTTTAATCCCTTCCCCCTAATATTAAACGGGCCCCCCCCCCCAAAAAAAAAAACAAAAAAATGGAAACTGCAAGTGTTTTTATACTTAGGGGGTTTTTATTCAAATGTCCTTAACCCTAAGCCCTAAACCCTTAACCCTAGACCCCCAACCCTAAACCCTCTGAGGGTTTTATTGGTGTTGAGGGATTTATTGGAGGCCTGAACCCCCCCCCCCCCCCCAATTCGGAATAGGGTTTAAAAGGTGGGCTCGGTTTCGGGAGGATTTTCCGGAATGTGTTTTTGTTATTAGGGGGGCGTTTAGTAAAAGGGGGAAGGGATTACGTTGTTGGGGTGTGGGGGGGGGGGGGGGGGCGGGGCGCCCAGCTTCAGGCCTGGAATGGAAGCGATTGCAGCCCCGCAAACGCAATTTCGACACTCAGCAGAACAACTCGAGAACACACCCACACATACACACACTCACACTCACTCACATGCATCCATGATCCTTCCAATCACCATGCGTGCACGGCTCTAGCTCATCATGGTGGCAATGCAGCCACTCCTCCGAAGCCAGAACATCGCACACGAAGGCATTCTTCGCCTCCATCAACACGTGTGCAATGGCGTCCCGAACCGTGCCCGAGGTATAGAGCACGACCGGCCCCGACCCTTCCTTGAGGGTTGAGCCAAACAAAGTACGTATGCCCATCACCACACGATTCCCACGTCGCTGTCACCTGAAAATCCTCCCACTCTGAACTCCAGACGCAAGCATGGCAACCTCTTCACAGTAACGCCTGGCAAAGTTTGTTCCAAGCTTCCAACCACACAGACCTGTCCGTAGACTTCAAGCGGAGCTCATCCAACGTCGGAAAAGGTGGCGAGAATTCAAACACCTAGGCGCCAGTGCTCGTACATCCTGAAAGGATGGAATCCAGGCCGGATGTGCAGCAAGTGGGCTGCAAGAAAGGATGTGAGAGCATAAACACTGCATTAGGCAAGTTATTAGCATCTTTTCAAAGTAGGGCTAGACATGATCAGAATGAGCTTCCACACATGTAAGCACCGAACTACCACTACGTTTAAGAAAATGCCCGTGTTACAACCACACGGACATGAACCCTAAACCCTAAACCCTAAACCACTGCAAGATAGATCACTCCCACAGGAAAGCATCGGTGTTCAGTCCTTTCCACGTGTGTCGTATAAGTCGGAAAAAGAGATCGTAGGTTATTTACGTGGTCCCTTAACAGGGGCCCTTAAAGGGTGATCCCTTATATACCCTATACAACCCAAGGGCCCATACTTCAGAACCCTTTAAAGAAGGTAAGAGACCACATGAAGGGCACGTGAAAGTACCCTTAGAGGAGAAGGGGGGTAGCCTGACCGAGAGAGGGAGTTGTGGATCCACCGGTTGAGGGTGCAAACCCTAAACCCTAAGCCCTATTTCAATCTAGGGTCCCTTGCTACCCAAAGGGTCCCCAAATTGTGAGAACCCACCATCTACGTGTTTTTGGGTTGAGCGTGGAGGGTTTCCGAGTGCGTAGAAGGATTCTCGTGCTTTGGGATGCATGAAGAGTAAGCTCTGGTTTGGCGACTGAACTATGTATTTTGGAGAGGGGGGCCTAGCAGGACGTCCTAAAATGGCCCCAAGCCCGCTACACCATGTCTTCTACCCTCAGCTCTGAACCCCCTTTCCGAGACTCATACACCTAAACCTAAACCCTAAACCCTGAACCCAAAACCCAAAACCCTAAACCCTTTTGACCCTAAACCCTGAACCCTAGACCCTACACCCTAAATCCTAGAGACCCTCAAACCTGCTTTCCGCTCTCCTCAGTGTTTGACCTTGTACTGCGGCTGCACGGGGGCATCGCTGCCTTCGGGCAATACCCTATGTATATATATATATATGTATATATAGAAAACCTAAATACCCTTCATGAATATATATATATATATATGCTCACCCCCCCCCCCCCAATGGACCCACCGCGGGTGGCATCCGAGTCCTAGCCAGATCAAGGGAACAACAACAAAACAAGAAACTAACAAAAAACAAAAAACCAAAAAAACCAAAAAAACCAAAAAAACCATCTTTTCCAAAACTATGGGGCTGGGGCCTCCAAAAGATGGTTTTTTTGGTTTTCTCGAGAAAAAGATGGTTTTTTGGTTCGAAACCATCTTTTTCTCGAGAAAAAGATGGTTTTTGGAGGTCTTCTCCTGGTAAAACCATCTTTTTCTCGAGAAAAAGATGGTTTCTTCTCCTGGTCCATCTTTTTCTCGAGAAAAAGATGGTTTCGAACCAAAAAACCATCTTTTTCTCGAGAAAACCAAAAAAACCAAAAAAACCATCTTTTGGAGGCCCCAGCCCCATAGTTTTGGAAAAGATGGTTTTTTTGGTTTTTTTGGTTTTCTCGAGAAAAAGATGGTTTTTTGGTTCGAAACCATCTTTTTCTCGAGAAAAAGATGGTTTTGAGCAACCATCCTTCGAAAAACCATCTTTTTCTCGAGAAAAGATGGTTTTACCAGGAGAAGACTTCTAATCCTTTAGGTATTGCCTAAACCTTTAATCCTAAACCTTTAACTTTAAACCCTTCGGGGTTAACCCCGTGGGAAATTTAGAGGTAGACCCCGAAAAGACCCTAAACCTTCTTAGGGTGTAATGGTTTAAAAACCGATGTATACCTGCAGGTGCTAGATCCATATAGGGTGCTAAGGTTCTGGCCCTGAAGGGTTTAGGGTTTAGGGTTAAGGCTTAAATGCCCTCTAGGTTTAAATGCCTTAGCCTTAAACCCCAAACCTTCAAACCTTCATCCTATGGGGTTTCAAGGTCAAGGGTTTAGGCTTGATTGCCGAGGGCTTTAGGGTCCTGACCCTAGAGGGTTTAGGGTTAAGGAATAGATGCCTAAACCTTAAACCCTTAAGGTTTAAACTCTATGGGCTTAGGTTTAAATGTCTAAATCTTAAACCCTAAACCTTTAAACCTTCACACTACAAAGTTTAAGGGTGTTAAGGGTGACAAATTATACATACTTAGGTTTAAATGCCAAAATCTTAAACCCCAAACCTTTAAACCTTAACCCTATAGGGTTTAAAAGTTCAGGGCTTATTGTTAATTGCCGTCTTAGGTTTAAATGTCTGAATCTTAAACCCTAAAACTTTAAACCTTCACCCTATAGGGTTTTAAAGGTTAAGGGTTTCGGTTTAATTGCAAGCTTAGATTTAAATGTCTAAGTAAAGAATCCTAAACCTTTAAATCTTATCCCTAAAGGGTTTAAGGTTAAGGGTTCAATATGAACTGCCGGCATAGGTCTAAATACCTAAACCTTAAACTTAAACCCTAAACCATTAAATATCTTAACCCTAGAGGGTTTTAAGGTTAAAGGCTTAGCGTTAATTGCCGGAATCGGTTTAAATGCCTAAATCTTAAGCCCGAAACCTTTAAACCTTAGCCCAACAGGGTTTAAAGGTTAAGGGTTTAAAATTAATTGAAGTCTGAGATTTACATGCTTAAACCTTAGATCCTAAACCTTTAAAATCTTAACCCTACAGGGTTTAAAGGTTAAGGGCTTGGCTACAGGTTGAAATGGCTAAATCTTAAACCCTAAGCTTTTAAACCTTAGCCCTATAGGGTTTAAAGGTTAAGGGTTTAAAACTAGTTGCAGACTTAGGTTTAAATGCCTACATCTGAAACCTAAACCTGCAAAAATCTTAACCCTATAGAATTCAAAGGTTAAGGGCTTAGGGTTTAATTGCCGGCATGGGTTCAAATGCCTAAATCTTAAACCCTTAACCTTGAAACCTCAACCCTACAGGGTTTAAAGGTCAAGGGTTTTTTTGCAGGCTTAGGTTTAAATGCCTAAGTCTTAAATTATAAACAAAAGCCAACAGAAAGAAAAACCATCCGTGTGTGTGAGAGAGTGAATTAAGGAATACAGTCAAAAATCCGGTCACCGGAAAATCACCAGACAGCATAGATTTTATCGGTATTTGCGGTACTTTTGCAAAGATCAAGGCCCGCGGTGGGTCCATTGGGGGGGGGGGGGGGTGACCATATATATATATATATAAAGATAAGCCTTAAATGCACTAGTGTTGGAGTGGTGTGTGTATTCTGTACTGTACTGGCTCTTCATAGGGAACGCGTGACCAGGTTCCCTCGGGGGATATGAAGGACTAAGTCCCTATCTGTCTATTAGGAACTCGTAAGTTTAGCATCTAGAAGAACCGCCTTGTTGAGGTGCTGCTGATACTTGGAAGTTCATGGGTACGTCTAAGTAGGGCAAAAAGTAGGGTCAGCATATTTATAACCTTATTAATACCTACCTTATAAGTACGCATGAACCTCCAAGTAACCCTAAACCCTAAATCCTAAACCCTAAACCCTAAACCCCTTGAGGCGAGCCGAGAGATGGTTTCAAGAGTTCGAGGCTTGTCCCTGGCGCAGTGTTGAGAACGGGTTGGAAGCCCGAGTTGATAGAAGCAATGGCAGGCTTTTCAGCTAGGGTTTAGGGTTTAGTGTTTAGGGCTTAGGGTTTGGGGTTTGGGGTTTAGGGTTGAGGGCTTTTCCGCAGGAAGGCGCTTTCAACCCAAAACCTAAAACAACTTCTACTGAGGGCTGGGCTCGTGGATCGTAAGCCAGACATTGCCCCAAGCACACTACCCTCTCACTGCTGGAGCCGTCCTTGGCGGTTTCGGCGTTCAGAGATGCCGGGCAGACCACCCACAGCAAGAAGAACGTTCTCTCTCCTGTGAAGAACCTCAAAGTATCAAGCAGTATTGCAGTGCAACGACGTCAATGGGGCTTGAGATAGAGTCTTGGCGAAACGACCTCAAAACTTAAAGTCCAACATCTCCGCAAACCCAAGAGACCCGAAAGCAAGCCTATTATGGGCCCAAGGTTTGGGGTGTAGGGTTTGCTTCAACCTTAAACCCGAAGCCCTAAACACTAAACCTCAACCTCCGTACCCTCTAGTATTAACACCCCCCCGGTACCCCGTTATGTTTCAGATTCTCATTGTAGAAAAGGAAGGAAACTGGGAATAAATCATATCAGAGGGCGTAGGGAGGGGGTTCAATGGGAGTGGGGGCGGGGGTTCAGGGGGTTCAGGTTTGCAGGCCTATATCGAAGTCCACACTGGAAAGAATTGGAACAAACCCTAAACCCTAAACCCTAAACCCTAAACACCTGGTCTTTTAGGCCTTTTTCCCCTGCTTCTCAGGCTTTCAGGTATAGGCCTTAGGGCTTCGGGTTTCCAGGTCCCGGTCAGCCCATCAGCGTTCGCTTCATCAGAGCCTGCACGGGCGGCTTAGGGTTTAGGGTTTAGGGATTAGGGTTTTGGGTTTTGGGTTTCGGGATTAGGGTTTAGGGATTAGGGTTTAGGGATTAGGGTTTAGGGATTAGGGTTCAGGGTTCATGGTTTAGGGTTGTGACTCGTTCTCGTCTGATTTCGGCTCGGGCGTTCAAGGTTTGGGAATCCCTCAGCCCTTTTGCAACAGGCTTTGCGTCCGCCCCAAACCCTGAACCCTAGACCCTAAGTCCCCCAAGCAGCCAAGCAGGCGCGCAGTTACCTTTGCTAGGCCGGGGGTCCCTAAACCCTAGACCCTAAACCCTAAACCCTAAACCCTAGACCCTAAACCCTAAGCCCTAAGCCCTAAGCCCTAAACCCTAAACCCTAACATGCCTTGCTCCATCGATCAGCCAGAGGACCCGAAACCTTAAACCCGAACACATCCCACCCAAAGCCTCCGAAAGCTCTATTTCGGAGGCTGGTGGCTTTCGGAGGTTCCCGAAACCACCCTAAACCCTAAACCCTAAACCCTGAACCCTAAACCCTAAACCCTAAACCCTAAACCCTAAACCCTAAACCCTAAACCCTAAACCCTAAACACCAAACAAGAGACTTGGGGCGTGATCGACAAGGCAACGTTCGAGGTTGGCCTTTGCTGGGTGGGTGCGCGAAGTTTCATGAAGGAACCCTAAACCCTAAAAAGGGTGCCAGCATTCCCACTGCGCTTCCTTAAGTTTCAGGGATTTCGGAAATGCAGGTCTCCTGGGTGTGTAGGGCTCTAAGCCGGCATCTGCCAACATCCGGGCAACTGCCCCTCGCAACGACCTAAACCCTAAACCCTAAATCCCAAACCCTGAACCCTACTAAACCCTAAACCCTAAACCCTAAACCCTAAACCCTAAACCCAAAACCCTAAACACGTAGAAGCTCCAAAGTCCAACAGCCTCGGTCCAACAGCAATTTTTTGGACACAAAACACTCCTCAAGCCCTGTCGTGCGAGCCTCAGGAAGCCTGAGGAGCCTTCTCGGTTTGCCAGCACACGCTAAACCCTAAACCCTAAACCCTTTACCCCAAACGCTAAACCCCAAACCCCAAACCCACGCGCACTGTTTTCCTCCTAGCTCTCGCTGCCATCCTGGTCAAACCTGCTCGGCCGGTATGCCCTTCTAGGCATCGGCATCTCAGGCATTCGAAAGGTTGGCTCGAACTCGAAGGCGTCCGCGTACTTGGGATCCATGGCCTGCCCAGCTTGCTTTAGAGGGTTTAGGGTTTAGGGTTTAGGGTTTAGGCTTTAGGCTGTAGGCTTTGGGGTTTAGGCTTTGAGGTTTGGGCTTTAGGCTTTAGGCTTTAGGCTTTGGGCTTTGGGCTTTAGGCTTTAGGCTTTAGGCTTTAGGCTCTTGGCTCTAGGCTTTAGGCTCTAGGCTTTAGGCTTTAGGCTTGAGGCTCTAGGCTCTAGGCTCTAGGCTTCAGGCTTTGGGGTTTGAGGTGTCTGCTTTAGGGTTTAGGGCTTTCCCAGATTGCCCAGTAGCCTAAGAAGGAAAAGTGTGCCCTTTCTGTGTTACAGGGGCTTTCAACAAGAGACCCTAGACATGAATGCAATGGGACGACTGGGCTGTCTTGCAGACTTTAGGGTTTAGGGTTTAGGGTTTAGGGTTTAGGGTTTAGGGTTTAGGGTTTAGGGTTTAGGGTGGGGGGAGTGTGTATGTGTGCGGCTTACGGTTTAGGGTTTAAGGTTTATAAGACTTCAGGGTGAAGAGTTGAGGGAGGTCCTGCATTCATGTCCGGATGGCGAGACGCCTCCTTCAGCCCTTCCCTTTTGCTCACGAACAACAAGGCGTCGACTTTAGCTAGCTCTTGCCAAAACCCTCTGAGGAGGCACTTACCTCAGCCCCCTAAACCTTAAACCCCTAAATCTGTAAACCCCTCCCTATAGCTAAGCACGGCGATCGATGAGAACCCCACAACCTGCCGCAACGCCTTCGCAGCAGCGCCAGGTCTCGGTCCTGGTAGCTTCCTTGGCTGGGGGCTTGTGGTCTTTCTGGGGGCGAGGGGGGGAGCAAAAGCCTGCAAGACACCGACCTTCGTTTGGGAAGGTGGTTGGAACACCTTAACCCAAGAAGCTCCTAACCCCCTAATTAACGAACGGCACCTGACTCCTCTGTCTAAATCACACAAACTGCAGTCCTCTAAGCACGAATTGCCCTGACTCTCGACGTCAAGCTCCAGACCCGCTCGTAGGTCTAAGGGTTTGGAATGTTTTTAGGGTTCAGGGTTTGCAGGGTTATGGTCTGCATGCAAGGAAGTCCCTAAAGCTCCCTGTTATCTGCCGGGGGGGGGAGGGGGGGTGGGTTGCTTCAGGCCATGGGGCGTCGAAGCATCAGGTTTAGGGTTGGGCTCATCTAGGACTACCCTAAACCCTAAACCCTAGACCCTAAACCCTAAACCCCAAGCCGATTCCTTAACCCGCCAGCTTTCACTTGCCGAGCTTCTCTTTGAGGAGGGGCCGCCCGCTTGCTGGCATAGCTGGCCGGCTTCCTGGGTTGCTACTTTGCGCCACGCCTGACATCTAGAACAACCGGCTTATGTTCTTAGTTGCTGAGTTTCATAAGCCAAAAAAGTGTACACTTTCAGTTCTATAGGGGATTGTAGTATCCCAAAAAGTGTAAAGTGTGCTCACTCAGCCACTAAGTGTTCGAGGTATCGCAAAAGGGTGAACTTCGAAGTGCGTCAGCGCCAACCCCCTCACATCCTTCGCATGAAGCATCCCCGCCGAGGAATTGCCCTCTTGAGCAACGGCTTTGCCCTAAACCCCAAACATCCAAAACCTCACAAAGACTGTTCCCTACTTCGGAGTAGACCCTGGAAAAATAAGTACATAAATTTTAGGCATAAGCAGCTATAGTAGGAACCCAGAACCCCCCCCCCCCCCCCCCCAAAAAAAAAAAGTATTAACGTATTTAGAGTACTCCAAAACCCAGACTGTTGGTCCCAAAGTGGCCACCCTTGGCCGGCTGCTGTGAGCTGGAGGACGAGGAGCTCGCCTGGGCGTCCACAGCTCTTCTGTTTTTAGGGTTTAGGGTTTAGGGTTTCGGGATTTTTTCTCTGCCAACGTGGCACCAAAGCCCTCGAGACCACGGCAAAGGCTTGCGGCCTTGAGGGCGAGGTGGCTCACATGTAAACATAAGAAAACACAGTAATATGTAGTATCATTCTATGAAAAGTAATACAGTAATCGAATAGTGAAAGAACCTATTCGTGTAATGGTACAGAATATCATACGAAAATGCAACAACGCGATAATCTAAACGTATAACAATACATTCTACCAATACCACGACTTTGTCAAAGGCACCCTAGTTGACAAAAGGCCCAAACAAGGGACCCTATTTCACTCCTAAACCCTAAACCCTAAACCCCAAACCCTAAACTCCATTTCGACACTCTAATGCTGTTGACATTAGGGTTTAGGTTTTTTTTCACTCCGAGGGTTTAGGGTTTAAGGTTTCGGGTTTGGGGTTTAGGACAAGGCTTCTGTGCCCGCTGTCGTATCCCAATCCGCATGGACATCATGTAGCCTCAGCCCTGAACCCTCATGAAGTCTTTAAGTTTTAGGGCTTCTGGTTGTAAGGCGTAATGGAGTACCTGCACACCTTCAATCCAAACCCTAAACCCTAAACCCTAAACCCGAAGCCCTAAACCCTCGACCCTAAACCCTAAATCCTAAACCCTAAAACGCAGGGGTCAAGTGTGCTTGAAGCCCTCCATGCTCAGAAGCGGACAGAAAGGCTGCCAGGCAAGAGCGTCTTCCTCTGACGAGGCTTGGGAGGCTCCGCCTCCTCGGTTTCTTTGCCCTTTCCTTGGCTGCTTGTGGGGCTTCTTAAGTCCCTAACTTTTTTGGCGGAACCCGAAGGAGGTTTAGGGGCTTTACAACAAGGGGGGAAACTAGGTTTCCAGTCGCCGAGGAAGAAGCAGGGAACCCGTTCTGAACCACGTCCCAGCAGCCCAAGTGATCCTGCCACGCTTGGCTGACTGCCAGTGGTTGCCTCAGACAAACCCCTAAACCCTAAACCCTAAACCCTAAACCCTAAACCCAAAACCCAAGGTACTTGGAGGTTCATGGTATCTATTCACCAAGAGTGCGCTTATATGGTTAGAAGTACAGTTACAAGTACATTACCCTAAACTCTAACCCTAAAGCCTAAACCCTACAAGTACAGTCACAATTGGTTTATACGTACAGTTATAGGTAGTTTGGCGGCCACAAAACCCCCAATTCTTGTGATTTTTTTACCACTTTGGCTTTCACAAATCCTCAATTAAGGCCAAAGCATAAGGGTTTTTTCCCTAGTACATA